AAGCAGCCCTGACCCACCGACTGAGGAAGCTTCGGACTCCTTCCAAGTGCCGCGAATGTGACAGCTACGTTTATTTCCAGGGAGCTGAGTGCGAGGAGGTGAGTTCTTCATCACTTCACCAGGCTAACATGTTTTGAGGCTCACGCTCTGAGTTGCACACTGAAACACTGAAAGCCTTCCAGCTGTGGTTGGATCGGCTCAGTGTGTTGCTGATGCATGCTACATTTTAATGATAGTAGTCGGCGTATTCAGTGAGCATATTCAAATGTCAAAGTAAAATATTTTGTGTTCTTAAAATAATTAACTTTTTATGTTGAACCCCACAAACTAGCAAATGGTCGGAGAAAAATGCACAAGTGGTTAGATAAATATGTTCAGTGTGGATACTTGTAAATTACAGTATGTAATGATAAACACTAAAAATGAACATCTCAGACTTTCTGTAAAGGATGGACTTCCCTGAGAAGTAAAGCCAATGTGGAAATTGCATTGTTTCTAATGGTTGGAGGGGGAAGTGCAAAAAAACTGTAAAATGCACCTCAGCTGTCAGTCCACACCTTGCTCGTCCCTTCTGGTTGGAAAATTTAGCAAAGTTCAAAATGCCCATCGCAAAACTTTATTAACAAGAAGGTGATGTCACTGTAACTGTTACAATCTTGTATATTTATAGCAATAATAAGGAACTAAGTAGCATAAACGGTAAAGCATGTCTCAAAGCAAACGAGGGGAGAAAAAATAAATTCCGAAGAAAGAATTGTAAAAAAAAAAAATTATTATTTCTTTTTATTAGTTGAAAGAAGCTACACGTCACTCTGATTACAACCGATGGTACAGTTTCTGTTTTTAGAACAGGAAACTGGAATTTCCACAATGTTCCAAGAAAATATCAAGAACTGCAAACAAAGAGACAATAAAACCACAACAAACAACTTTAACAGGATTATGTAATGATAGAGAAATTTCACATCTTTATACCATTTTTTTCCACCATCTTTTCTATTGAATCGGGGGTTCTCCTTCCAATAGGCATAATACATTCAGTGGAAATGTACCCTTTAAAAAAAAAAAATATATATATATATAAATTTTTTTTTAAACCTTGTAGTAAGGCAATTGTGATTCCACTGTGTCATCCCTTATTAATGCCCGTGTTATCTAATTTTATTCCATCAGGTGATATGTTTTTAATTTTATTTATTTGTACACACGTTTATTAACCGAGCATGTGTACACCTACAAGAGATTTGACTCTGGTTGTTTCTTTGTTCTAAGTGTACATAACAGAGTAGACAACAGTCATTACTGACAATAACAGCACATATAGCGTATTTATGGTGCAGATGTTGGAATAATTAAGGGATGGAACAGGTGTGTGTG